CTTTAAACATGTTAAAACTTTGTCGGAAAAACAAAGAAGAACTAATGCAGGGGCGTCGATTTAGAACAAGGATGTCGCTTTTTGGGTAAAATGTGTGTGTGGGGGGGGGGTTGGTTAGGTGTACTTAAGGAGAAACGGGTTCGTTCGGGTTCTAGTTTTTCAACACACTGCAAAGTATTGTAAGCATTTCACATCTGCAGAAAAAAAATAACTTTCCAGACTTTTTCGATGAATTTATAAAAAAAAATTGATTATGTCGAACATATGTATAGAATATCATCGACTCCAGGGGCGGACTCAGGATTTTCTAGAGGGGGGTCGAATTTTCAAACAGTTTTCGAAAAATTGGTCAACCTTTTCAGAAAAATTTTCAGGTCGACCATATTGATTTTCTGAGCCCTCCCAAATCGCTAAAAAGACCTTGTTTTTACCAATTTTTCTAGGCCGCAAAATTTGAAAAGAAAAACTGGCCAAAAAATTCTTTTTAGACACTTTTTGGCAATCTACATCCGCTGGAGAATCTGGTTCGTGGTTTCATATCTTTCAAACTGTTGTCATGTGGTTTTGAGCTTACTACTGAGCTTCCCCACTCCCCCTTTCCAACCCCCCCTCGACGCGAGAATGACGGGGTGTTGCTCAATTGATGCTTTTTTAACGTTAAAAAAAGTGTTTTTGAACTACAACAAGACTGCTCGTATATCAGAGCAAAGCATTGAATGTTTCGACTGTCCCTTAATTCATATCGAATAGTTTTTGGGAGAGGAAAATATTGAAAACATATACATTTTGGACTGTATCAAAGTGTAAAGTTTTGAGTCGTAAGAAATTAAAACGACCAATTAGTTAGCCTCAATTCAAGTTGGAACAATTTTGTTGTGCGGGATGAATCTCCAAGCATAAATTATTCGCGTAACGCTCTCAGCATCATGAATAAACTCTTCAAAACGCTCATAATTTAGTCCAGAATGGGGAAATTTTGGCAATTTTGAAACCCCCTAGAACTTTACAAAAAAATCGGAAATGAAATATCTTTTTACATTTGAAATCAAAAGTCGATACCTTGAATGGGGTATAAAAAATGTTTCTTAAAAATTATTATTTCGATCGGTGAAAATTGACTGAAAAAAAACCACACCGAGCATAAATATTCCGTTTTCTTCAAAAGTCGGAACAATAAACTCTTGTGCTTGGGTTGGTCATGAACATCGATCATATCAGTTAATTTGAAACTCTAGTGTGGGATATTTGATTTGAATCTTTTGTATATGTCATCCAGTTTTGGCCTTATATTCGTTCGGTTTAAAGCCGTTTATCTGGTTCCAATTTCTGCTCAAACTATCATAAATGAGGCTAGGAAATTAGACGATAATCAAACATAACGTGACCAACAAAAACGAAATGAGACGTTAACTTGTTTTTGTAAAACTGGCATTTTAGACGGAAAGCAAAGGGCTAACAAAACTTATTGCTTAAAACAAGTTTTCATAATTACGAAAAAAAAATTTGATTCCATTGCACTTTCAAATATTCATCACAGTTGATCTATAAAACGTTAAGCTCAATATAATAAAATATTTTTGAAATGCATTGATTATACAGTTGCGGCATGTGAAATTTACAAAATGCGAAAATTGCGGCACGTGAAAAGTTGATTTGCATTTAAGAAAACTCAAACGAAAGTTCATTGTAGTCAGTAAACATGTTTCAGACACGAAAAAACAATTACGTCTTTTTTCCCATAGTTGTAACTTTGCATCGACTTCTAAATTCGTTTTTGTTGGTCACGTCTATTTTGTTTTTCGTTTAGTTTCCTAGGACCCCTATTAAAAGCCTCAACTTGCTACAACTGCATCATCTTGCAGTTACGCGTTTGACGCGCTGCTAGTCTGGTGCAATTTAAACAAAAGCACTAGATAAAAGAAATACTAATGCAGCAATATTGGGACAGAAAAAAATAATCTGAAATAATATTTTTGCTGATTTAAACTTTTACTTTTGTCTAAATAAAGGATAACTTCATCACAATAATTACTGCCAGTTGAAAAGAGGACTGTGAAAGCAGGTAGATCAAGAACAAATTAATTTGATACAGAAAAATTTGAAAAGAAATGTTTAATGATTTGGTTTGATAGTTAGAACCACTTGAAGTTTTTCTGATTTTTACTACTTTGCCTTTGATCAAAAAACTGTTAAAAATTTGCTAAGGAATTTGATTTTCACCTTAGTTTTTGGTAAAATTTAGTCGCATTTTAAAATTTTGAGATGCGTTCAATGTTTTTTTACTATAGTAATCGTTTGTTTAATTTACGGTTTTTAAATTAAATTGGATAGGGTATAAATGATTTTTTTTTGTATGAGATTGAGACAAGGCTGAATTAAATTGTTCCTCAATACACAATTAATGCAGTCAGGTTAGCATTTAGGGACTACTGAGAAAATAATTTTGCTCAAATCAAGACAGTTTTTCATGAAAGACGAGCTTAAGCCCATAGCAACTTGCGTTTTTTTTCTGGTGATCACAAGCATTTATATTTTTTAAAACTTTTTACATGCGTTTATGCGTCATTTTTCTCTCCTTGGTAAAGTTGTTTTATCCTCACGAAACGAGTATCATTGTGGGCCTCGAACATTCAACCTTTTGACTGAGAGTTGGCGACTTTCCCACTTAAGCACTGCTCCCCGATAGTGATTTTGTAGAATCAGTTGATGTTTTTGAAACTTTTCAATAATTTTTTAATTTGCATCATAATGACTATTTGATTTCTGAATACACTAATGCTGAGTGGTTGATTGCCCACATATTCTCGGAAAATAAGTATCTCTTCGTTATATTGTACCTACTTTCAAACCAGGGCAAAACCCCATAACTAATCATTATGAGGACAAACTGTGCACTGAGTAGGCACACAATTTGGTGTATGTATGTTACTTGAATCCAAAGTCATGTTGCAATTTGTTAAAATGATCAAAGAAATTGAAAGAACAAAAAAGAATAACGAGAGAGTCCTTGTTGCGGAATCCGCTTACATTTTACAAAATACACAGTTTGGCCTCGTGATGATAGGAGTTTTTTTTTATCGCAGAAGAAGCTTTACGCCGACTGACCACCATAAAGCGCAAATGCTACTCATATAATTTCATAAATTAGGTATATGAAAAAAAAACTCGATCAAATTTCATTAGCTCGCTTAAATGGTGCCTTTTTTTGGCATCAACTTCGGTGTATCGTCATAAATAATTAAATTGCCAAAAAATGCTGGTCACACAATTTCTAGATATGTTTCAAATTTGTCCAAAAAATTCTTTCAATCGCAAAAGGAATTGTGTACTCAAACTAGCCTTTTCCAAAGTTTCATTATTTGCGTGTGGATAGGATATTCCTGGACACCAAAAAGATAGGTTTTTTTTCGGTTTTGCTGGGCAACTCTTTTCAAAAACTCTCAAAATATTCAACTTTTTTATTTATTAATGTTTGATCTGATCAATACCTGTAATATGAAAATTTATGAAATTACCTGAATATCTGATTAATGAAAATAATTGAATTTAAAACTTTTGCCAAATTTCGAAAAACTGATACTCTCTTTATTTGGTTTGCGTAGTTTCCTATGCAATGTAAATGCAAGACTATTCAACCTTTGGTGATTCTTCTTTTGAATAAGCCAAATTCTTTTTTACTTGAGTTTGGTTGTTAATACAACCTTACAAATTTGAGAAGTTAAATTAAAAAACAATATTATATGTTTTCGGAAAAATTCTATTCGTACAATTTCCATATATGAAAAATCACCAATCATGAAAATTGCATACAACTTTTTGTACTTTCTGTACTTTCCGGAATTGCATGAAAAAAAACCGGCGTTTTTCCGACGGAGTTTCTTGGATAAAAATCTATATAATCGTTTCTAGCCAACCCGGGTATACATTTCCATAGGGTAAAATCATACTGGCTTTCCCATTTCTGCTACTCAATTATTTATACTGTTAGAATCAGAATCTAAGATGACTCATTGAGGTAACAAATTTTCAACAAAAACCTAACCAAAATGTTGCTCACAGGTTTTAGTACTGCGACATTTCAAACAGATGAATATTGCCCGAAAAATATTAAAATTCATCAACCTGAGTCGTTTCGAATCAATTTACAAAGCATTTTTGTGAATTTTATCAGTGCAGTTCGAATTACGACTGGAAAATTTTCACCACACAATTTTCATGCTTGTGCAACGTGTCCTGCGATGTCTGGCTGTGGGTGCAAAAAAAATCAATTCTGAACACAAAAAAAATCTTCGCTCACTGTGATCGGAAGAAAAACTATTTTCATCTTGGAAACAATATCTATAGTTTAGCCTAATTTTTTAAGGGAACCGGCCTAATAGCACGCGTGCTGCGTAGCATGCGGCTACCAGTGCAATTAGAATGAAGTTTGTTTGGTCATATTTGCAACTAAAACTCAAGGTGATGCGTACCGCTCAAACTGTTTCAATTGCGCTATGTAAGAATCACGATGCAAGTCGCTACTCCCCCGTTTTTAACAGTCGCTATTTTGATATTAGTTACTAATTCATAAAATCATGTTTTGATTTTTTGCCAAAACGGAGAGATCTGATATATTTTCGACTTATTTTTTGCAATTTCAGGGTATGTCGGACAACTTTTCTGCCACCGACTGGACAGAAAATTTTTCGGAGTTAAAGTTATAAATCAGAATTTGGAATTCAATATAAATAAGAACAATATAAAATCCGATATAAGTAAAATTGTTATACATAAAAGTTTGCACCAATTTTAGAAAATTGCAAGGTTGTTTTTTGTTTTTGCGCCTAGTTTTTCCAAATGACCATAAATCGAGTTATACAGTCAATGGCTAGCGATCTCAAATAAATGACTTTTTTATTAATTGTATTTGTAAAACCAAACTTTTTCGAACATTTGAGCAATTGTTTGGTTTTAAAAAAATTCCGTAATCGATTATGTTAACTTTGTTCAACTTTGCAACTTTCTCAATTTTGCAAGCTTTTTTGAACTCTATTCAAAGTTTCAATCGAGTGAGCAATCAGCTTTTTCTTCTATTAACGGTTGTCTTTCTGAATCGGCTGAAGATGATGACGCGGCTGCAACTAACCTCTTTGCCCCAAATGCTATTTTGTGAATGGCTTCCGCCCCCACACTCACAAAGATGGACACTCCCCCAAGAACAGAAGCCCAGTTGAATGGCTCCTAAGGTAACAGAACGAAAATTGTTGTCCGACCAAAATTTTCTCGGAGGTGTCTTTTTAATTATATAATGAAAACGTAAAATTCTTTTTAAATTGGTATTTTAGTTGATAAAAATGTATCAAATGTGAAAATGAGGTTCAAGTTGAGCATTCAACTTCTCAAACGAAATATGGCAAAATTGATTTGAATTTTTAGATTTTTTTGGCTCTAATTGTCAGGCGAAAATCACGAATCAAACAAACCATTTCAAGCATTCTTTATGCTAAAAATTTCTAGGGCGTTCCGCATCTAAGAAAAGTGTAAGAAAAGAATTTTAATGGATTTTTGTTGCCTAAAATATTAATTATATAACCATTTTCCATGTTGGCCTCAGACAACAAAATGGAATTAAAAATCATTTACAATAATTTTGTTATATCAAATTCAAAATTTATTATGTTCATTTAAACCAAATGAATGGAATTTTTCCCACTTGATTTTTGTTTTCCGTCCTGCAAAATTTAGCATGAATTTCGGCATTTGTTAAATAAGTAATGCTCAAAAAAGCGAAACGAGCAAAAAAGGCCTACTCAATTTCTGAAGCTGAATTTTTTTTTCAGATTGCAAAACGATTCGAAAACCTCACCCCCCCCCCAAATTATAATCGATTGTAAGGGTTTTTTCGAAAGGTTAGTCATGAAATACACAAATTTTTTACAGGGTTATCGCATTTCCTGTTTAGTGCAGTTGCTACGTATTAGGTTTTTAGGCTTCATAAAATGTTGCATTTTACTTTTCAATCTTTGTATCTTGGTCTTATATACCCCGTTTACCCCTTCCCTGTTTACCCCCCCCCCCCACCTCCCTGTCAGTTTACCACAACCGCCATTCGCATTCGCCCCCCTTTATGAGGGGTTATTTGTTGGTAGACTTTGGGGGAGGGGGTCTATGATTTACATCCCCCTCCCCCCCCCCCCCCCACAGTTTACCCCCCCCCCCACAGTTTACCCCTCCTCAATTAACCCCCCTCTCCCCTCATCGTAGTTTAACCCCCCCCCCCGTTTACTGGGGGACTGGGGTTTGGGCAAATGCGGACTGATGGGGGGCAAGGGGGGGGGGTTTAATTCGAGTACGTTTAGGTTGAGAGTAGGCCGTGAGTAACGCAGAAATGTTGTAAGTTTTGTAAATGATTTTGCAAAATATGTATAGATTAAAATGGATTTTAATGGATTGTGTTTTTATGAAAATAATCGATTATAATGACAATATAATCGATTATTTGGTCTAAATTTGCCACAATAATGGATTATAATGACAACATTTCAGACATTATAATCGATTTTTATCCATGGAACTCCGGTGCGGGAACCCTCGCCCTCCGGTGCGGGAAACTTTCACCTCTACAAACGCATTGCAATAAACGACATCAAACAGGTCGAAAATAACACTTTTGCTCTTTTTTAAGGTTTTGACAAAAAATGCAACATACTTACATGCATACAAACAAACCGTGTCCATCTCTCTCCCCCACGTTTTAAGTTTGTTTCGATAGTTAAATTTGTTATGTCATTCTCTTCAAAGTTGTCTTGTGAAAGTTTCGTACCCCCTAAATTGATTGGGAGGGGGATTGTACGGTTAATTGGGAGGGGGATTGTACGGGGATTGTAGCTATTAGTCTACTAAAAAGTACACTGCATAAAATAAATAGTTTTGAAAGAAACGAGATGGGTCTTTTTTGGTTATACCCCCTCCCCTAAATGATGAACAAGATTGCTCGTATCAGGGCGAAGCCCTGAATGTTCCGACTGCCTTTTAAGGTTTATGGAGCAGTAATAACATTAAAAAATAAAATAAAATAAAATAAAATGAAAAAAAAAATTTCAAAATTTTGAAATTTTTTATGAAAATCATCCGCCCCCCACGGATTAAATCTCCGCTTACGCTTTAATAGCGCGAATTATATCGCGCGTTAATTGTCCCAAATTGGTCAAAATGGCCAAAATGGCAATCTTTAAACCCTCATAACTTCACGCAAAATGATCACAGGTGAAATATCTTTTCAAATTTAAGCTCAGGACAACAATGGCTTTCTAATGATATAAAAAAATTCCATCAAAAATGGCTAGTTAAAAAGTCGACATTTGTCTGAAGAAAAAAAAACCCACCCCGAGCACAAATATTCCGTTACTTTCGTATCGAAAGTCGGAACAAAAATGTAAAAAAAAATTATTACAAATATGAAACACGGTTTTGCTTAAAAAGCAAGGTTGATACCAGAGCGTTGGGGGGAGTGGGGGAGGGGAGTTGGCTGAGCGTTTAGGGGAGTAAGATGGGTTGTAACCGAAAAGGTTGGGGGGGGGGTGCCTTGGTTACTGAAAAAACCCGTAAGAAGATTTACCAAAAAAAAAACTTTTTTCTCGAAACGACAGATCTGAAAGTGTTTCTTACATTGAGTAGGGTCTCATCGGCTACGAAGAATGCGGCCAAGAATGCCGTTCTGACTATACTTGTGACGTAGATGGACTCCAAAGATATCGCATTCAGAGCAGTCACAATGTTCATGATGTCACAGAAAGACAGACACACACAGATCACTCTGTCGGCCAAGTGCACATAGCACCACGTGATATTCCACAACTCCATCACTGCCGAACCTACACGTTGAGAGATAGGGATAGAGGAGTGCACTTAGACGAACAACTACTTGAACTAATTGTACCAGAACAAGTATAATCACAAAAAAATTAGGGCGAGGTCAAGAAGAAAATAAGAAACTGGTTTTCAAAAAAAATGTCGCCTTTCCCAAGTTAAGTAGTTTCGAATTTGAATATGTGCATCGACTCTTTTTAAGGGCGTTTGAGAAATTTTGAGAATGTTTAGCTCAAGAAATTTCATTCAGCGCACACTCGTCTCTCGTAATCTCTTATTTAGCTGCTTTTCAGTAGCTGATCTTCTGGCGCGTGTGGTTTGGGAAGGACAACCAGCAGGGTCGTTCTACACACGAGTCACAGACGTTGAAACTCCGTCTTAACAGAAACGAAGCCCAATGTGTGTTCTATTTTCGGCTTTAACTAACAAAAATGAAGAAAACTGTACCCGGGTCGAGGTACCAGACTAATGTGCATACCACTGTACCAGACTTTCGCGGAAATATCGCGACCCTCCTTCGGTATGTCCAGAATTTCCCGTCCAAGATTTGCCATTTCCAGACTTTCGCGACCGAAAAATGCGGCCGCATTTTTCATGACCCAGGTTGAGACGGCGCGAACATCGCGACTCATGAAACGGCGCGACCGGCGCGACCAAATACAGCCCTTCCCAGGCTTTCGCGACCGAGGCGGATACGGTGCGACTTTCGCGACCAAGGCGGAGGCGGCGCGATTAAGAAGATTTTTCTCGCGGACTTCGCGACCGACGTGGAGACGGCGCGACTCTGGCAACCAACGTGGAAACGGCGTGACTCAAAGTGAAACGGCGCGACTCAAAATTCAATGGCGCAACCAACCTGGTCCTCGCAACCAAAAATTGCCATTTTCAGATTTTCGCAACCAAGCGGAAGATGGCGCGAACTTTGTGACCAAGGCGGAAACGGCGTGGCTTTCCATACCAGGGCAGAAACGGCGTGACTTTCAATACCAAGGCGGAAACAGCGCAGTTTTCTGACCAAAGCGGAAACGGCGCGACCAAGAAACAATTCTTCGCGACATTCACGGCCGATGTGGATACGGCGCGACTCAAGAATCGGCGCGACTCAAAATGAAACGGCGCGACCTCCCTGGCCGACGCAACCAAAATTTGCCATTTCTAGACAATTGTGACTATGGTGGTGACGGCGCAATTTTCGAGACCAAGGCGGAGACGGCGTAATTAAGAAACATTTCCTCTCGATCTTTGCGACCGAGGTGGATACGGCGCGACTTTCGCAACCAGGGTGGAGATGGCCCAAGTTTCCAGCCTAAGGCAGAGACGGCGCGACTTTCTAGAGCAAGGAGGATACGGCACGGCCAAAAATCCTTTCCTTGCTACCTTCGCGACCGAGGTGGATACGGCGCGACTCAAGAAACAGCGCAAGTCAAAATGTAACAGCGCAATCCACCTGGTAGGCGCGACCAAAACTGGCCATTTCTAGACATTTGCGACAAAAGTGGATATGCTATTTACAGACCAAGGGGAAGACAGTGTGACCAAGGAACACTTTTTTGCCACATTCGTAACCCAGGTGGAACGGCGCGACTCTCCTCACCAAAGCGGAGACAGCGCGACCCAAAAATATATATATATATTTTTCCAAAAGTCGTGAAAGCTGCTGAGACTGCGCAACTATCGCGACCAAGAGGGAGACGGTGAGGGTTTTGCGACCAAGATGGAGACGATGAGGGTTTTGCGACCAAGATGGAGACGGTGAGGGTTTTGCGACCAAGATGGAGACGGTGAGGGTTTTGCGACCAAGATGGAGACGGTGAGGGTTTTCCGACCAAGATGGAGACGGTGAGGGTTTTGCGACCAAGATGGAGACGGTGAGGGTTTTGCGACCAAGATGGAGACGGTGAGGGTTTTGCGACCAAGATGGAGACGGTGAGGGTTTTGCGACCAAGATGGAGACGGTGAGGGTTTTGCGACCAAGATGGAGACGGTGAGGGTTTTCCGACCAAGATGGAGACGGTGAGGGTTTTGCGACCAAGATGGAGACGGTGAGGGTTTTGCGACCAAGATGGAGACGGTGAGGGTTTTGCGACCAAGATGGAGACGGTGAGGGTTTTGCGACCAAGATGGAGACGGTGAGGGTTTTGCGACCAAGATGGAGACGGTGAGGGTTTTGCGACCAAGATGGAGACGGTGAGGGTTTTGCGACCAAGATGGAGACGGTGAGGGTTTTGCGACCAAGATGGAGACGGTTAGGGTTTTGCGACCAAGATGGAGACGGTGAGGGTTTTGCGACCAAGATGGAGACGGTGAGGGTTTTGCGACCAAGATGAAGACGGTGAGGGTTTTGCGACCAAGATGGAGACGGTGAGGGTTTTGCGACCAAGATGGAGACGGTGAGGGTTTTGCGACCAAGATGGAGGCGGTGAGGGTTTTGCGACCAAGATGGAGACGGTGAGGGTTTTGCGACCAAGATGGAGACGGTGAGGGTTTTGCGACCAAGATGGAGACGGTGAGGGTTTTCCGACCAAGATGGAGACGGTGAGGGTTTTGCGACCAAGATGGAGACGGTGAGGGTTTTGCGACCAAGATGGAGACAGTGAGGGTTTTGCGACCAAGATGGAGACGGTGAGGGTTTTGCGACCAAGATGGAGACGGTGAGGGTTTTGCGACCAAGATGGAGACGGTGAGGGTTTTCCGACCAAGATGGAGACGGTGAGGGTTTTGCGACCAAGATGGAGACGGTGAGGGTTTTGCGACCAAGATGGAGACGGTGAGGGTTTTGCGACCAAGATGGAGACGGTGAGGGTTTTGCGACCAAGATGGAGACGGTGAGGGTTTTGCGACCAAGATGGAGACGGTGAGGGTTTTGCGACCAAGATGGAGACGGTGAGGGTTTTGCGACCAAGATGAAGACGGTGAAGGTTTTCCGACCAAGATGGAGACGGTGAGGGTTTTGCGACCAAGATGGAGACGGTGAGGGTTTTGCGACCAAGATGGAGACGGCGCGACTTTCGCAACCAGGGTGGAGATGGCCCAAGTTTCCAGCCTAAGGCAGAGACGGCGCGACTTTCTAGAGCAAGGAGGATACGGCACGGCCAAAAATCCTTTCCTTGCTACCTTCGCGACCGAGGTGGATACGGCGCGACTCAAGAAACAGCGCAAGTCAAAATGTAACAGCGCAATCCACCTGGTAGGCGCGACCAAAACTGGCCATTTCTATACATTTGCGACAAAAGTGGATATGCTATTTACAGACCAAGGGGAAGACAGTGTGACCAAGGAACCCTTTTTTGCCACATTCGTAACCCAGGTGGAACGGCGCGACTCTCCTCACCAAAGCGGAGACAGCGCGACCCAAAAATATATATATATATATATATATTTTTCCAAAAGTCGTGAAAGCTGCTGAGACTGCGCAACTATCGCGACCAAGATGGAGACGGTGAGGGTTTTGCGACCAAGATGGAGACGATGAGGGTTTTGCGACCAAGATGGAGACGGTGAGGGTTTTGCGACCAAGATGGAGACGGTGAGGGTTTTGCGACCAAGATGGAGACGGTGAGGGTTTTGCGACCAAGATGGAGACGGTGAGGGTTTTGCGACCAAGATGGAGACGGTGAGGGTTTTGCGACCAAGATGGAGACGGTGAGGGTTTTGCGACCAAGATGGAGACGGTGAGGGTTTTGCGACCAAGATGAAGACGGTGAAGGTTTTCCGACCAAGATGGAGACGGTGAGGGTTTTGCGACCAAGATGGAGACGGTGAGGGTTTTGCGACCAAGATGGAGACGGCGCGACTTTCGCAACCAGGGTGGAGATGGCCCAAGTTTCCAGCCTAAGGCAGAGACGGCGCGACTTTCTAGAGCAAGGAGGATACGGCACGGCCAAAAATCCTTTCCTTGCTACCTTCGCGACCGAGGTGGATACGGCGCGACTCAAGAAACAGCGCAAGTCAAAATGTAACAGCGCAATCCACCTGGTAGGCGCGACCAAAACTGGCCATTTCTATACATTTGCGACAAAAGTGGATATGCTATTTACAGACCAAGGGGAAGACAGTGTGACCAAGGAACCCTTTTTTGCCACATTCGTAACCCAGGTGGAACGGCGCGACTCTCCTCACCAAAGCGGAGACAGCGCGACCCAAAAATATATATATATATATATATTTTTCCAAAAGTCGTGAAAGCTGCTGAGACTGCGCAACTATCGCGACCAAGATGGAGACGGTGAGGGTTTTGCGACCAAGATGGAGACGATGAGGGTTTTGCGACCAAGATGGAGACGGTGAGGGTTTTGCGACCAAGATGGAGACGGTGAGGGTTTTGCGACCAAGATGGAGACGGTGAGGGTTTTGCGACCAAGATGAAGACGGTGAAGGTTTTCCGACCAAGATGGAGACGGTGAGGGTTTTGCGACCAAGATGGAGACGGTGAGGGTTTTGCGACCAAGATGGAGACGGTGAGGGTTTTGCGACCAAGATGGAGACGGTGAGGGTTTTGCGACCAAGATGGAGACGGTGAGGGTTTTGCGACCAAGATGGACTCGGCCCAATCCAGTAAAATGTTCTCGCATATTCCGCGACAATTTTTTTTTAATATTTTTCTAACATTTGTTCGATTCTGATTGGTTAGTACAGTAGCTGTCTACTTTATGATGTATCTACACTATGTTTTGTCTAGTTTTTGCTAATATGTAGCCTGTCAGGGCAAACTGTTTGACAGACCATTTCAAGGTGCAACACATCGAAAAAAAAGTGACAGAGAAAATCAGAGGGTTATTTTCGGTTATAACCCCCTGGATGATGAAAAATTGAAATGAAAAAGTTTTTAAATTTTATTTGGGACTCTTTTATTAGAAAACCTACAATATTGTTTTGGAACTGGTAATAGCGAAGCATTTTTACCTAATTCAGACTCAAACTGACTTTCTATTCCAATTTTTGCCAGTTTTCTGCGCATAAATTTCATTAAAAGCAAGCTAACTGCGTTTTTAATTGCCATCAAATTTTTTCGCCATTTTCTAGATTGATTCAACGCCTAGTAAAACCAGTACAATTTTGTTAGAAAAGTTTTATTTTCGTTTTTTAATCATTCAGGATGGCTATAACCGAAAAACCCATAAATAGAAAAAGTTTTACAAATCAAATACCAATCAAACCTGACATAAGATCCAAGAAAAAAATATTGCTCTCGAGTGAAATAAGCAACATAGTATAGAGCATTATAAGAAAATGCCGCTAAAGGCACATTTATGAAATAATTTCGAGCCAATCCGTCAAAAAATTTTGCAGTAAAACTCCAAGTACATGGAAAAGCATATGGATAACAAAAAATCATAAAGTAATTTAAGATCAATGTAACCTAACTCTCTATTGATGAAAAAGAACACAAAAATGTTTACTTACCTATGAGTATACTGAAAACAGCATATGCGAAGATGATGAAAGAGGTGTGGGTGTTTTGGAGAGAGGTGCCACACACCCCCCACCACAGCACCACGCCCACTCCCCCCACTACACTAACCTAAATGACAATAAGTATTGACAAATAACAACACAGTGTCAAGAAATCTTCATACATTTCCTGAGTCGAAGCGCTTCGATTGCGTAGCAGTATTTAGACAACCGCGTGTATTCATACTCGTCAGCAAGTAGACCAAAACTGTATTAACCATTCAAAACCGAGACAAGGAAGAAGTTAACAAATAATAGTTTTTATTTCGTAATTTTGCTTTCCCATCGCAGTTTTGATAGGTAAATATAGTATTCGTCTGCTTACTGACGAGTAAGAATACGCGTTTATCTAAATACAGACTACTCCAAGTGCTTCGCTTATGTTTCGATTTCGATACCGAAACTGAATATGTTCCGATTTTGTGCTCGACTCAAAATTGCTTCTCGACCGCGGTATTCCAGTCACAAAGCTGTAAATTCAAAAACTCATTTATAAACGAAACATAAGTCGAGAACCGCGAGCCAGGTTAGAACTCAGAAGAAAACACAGCTTTTCTTACTATAGCTCCTAAGCCTAGTTAGTCAAAGATTTTGTATAATATAGGGTGGAGGGGGTTCAATTTGAACTCACCATATTTACGCTTAACTCTCATTCCAACGGATAAGCGGTAGAAAAAGTCTCTCCTACTACTATAAAAAGCAGATTCAATCAATTTCAGCTGCTAACAGCTTACATAAAATTTTAAAAAAGAACACTCAGATTTGCTATAATGATTCAACAGAGAAAACAAAACAATCCAAACTGAGAAAACGAAACAATCCAATTTGAGCTCAAATCAATCCAAAGTTCAGTTTATAACTAGAAAAACTGAGCTTATACCAACGATAAGAAATAAGTATTGGAAAAACCTAAGGTACGATTTTTTAAAAATTGTTAAATTTTTTTCACTTACTAAACATCCGAGGGTGTGGTCGGGGTAGTCTGTTGCGAGCAGTTGGTCGTCTGTTCCGAACAGGAAGTAGGGCTGGCCTACTAGTAGTATGCCGACTATAGCCAGTGGAACGGACACTATGGCTTGTCTGCCAATAACTTTCTAAAGCATAGAAATTATCAATGAAGAAAAATCAACTGGTTAAATTATTTTAACTTTTTTAAATCAAATCAAATTGGTTTCATGTCTTATATGGCTTATAAAGAAACTGATTTTTTATAAATTGATTAGTTCATAATCAGAAAAAAAACAAAGTTTTGTTAAGACCCAGTCTTAATGAGTCTGAGAGAGGAAAAAACTGTCATTATATCAAACTTAGAATTCGTAAACTTGCAACCAACATTTTAAAAAATTAATTAGCAGATATGCATAAAATACGTCTCCTGGTTGACAAAATGGCAAGGATGGCAAAACAGTTTTAGAAAAAACTGATTGATTGCTTTGGTAAAAAAAAACAATTTTCTTTCATTCCGATTTGATAGCGTTTACGAATTACGAAGTTATTCAATGAGGATAATTGGAACCAGGATTAGCTTGCTAGTTATCAATATTTAAGTAAAAGTTTTTGAATGCTTGGTAACGTTAAAATGATCGAATAAATTACCAAAATTCTACTTTGAAGCGATGAATATGCAAAAAGGAGTTGACGTTTTTTTTTTAGAAAAAACAAATATATGAGCACGTGAAAAGGATGGATGCTGAGGGAAATATTTTTTGACAAAAATTGCACGTTGCTGTGTAAGTAGCCCTAAAAATTCAAAGCACAATAAACAGGAAACCTAAAAAAGTTTATTTTCATTTTTTCGTATCGTTTCTTTTTTTGTTAGTGGGGTGTTGAAAAGATCGGAGCAAAAGCTTAAAACTTAGGCACATTCGATAATATTTGTATATTACGTATTTCGCAATACTTTCCTTCGAAATATGAAAAAGAACACTTAAAAAATGTTTTTCTCGACATGGATCAGTACTGGGCTTGATGATAAAATACCACTTGACCTTCATCCTTCGGAAGCTTTGATTTAAAACTCAGATGAAAGTCCTTTTAAAATGATTAATTTTCCATCAAAAAAACTTATGAAGATAAACTTCAGTGCCTAGTTTACTCGATATTTTTGCTTGGCTTTCTTTTTTACGGATAAAATGAGAAATATAAGTGAAAATAAAGGCTAGACTGAAGTGCACTTCAATAACTAAGCCACAACTTCAACAAGTTTGCTAGTGTCTGGGCGAAGCCCTGAATTTTCCGATTGCCTTTTAAAGACCATGGAGTATGTACTGTCCGCTCGAGAAAAATTGACCAGACTTTCAAAAAAAAAATTTGAAATAATTTTTTTCAGTTTTTTTTGCAAAAATTGTCATCCTTTCTTGAGCTATATAAAGTACAAGGTATTATATTTAGCATATAGCTAAGTAAAAAAATCGGTTAGCATGCTTTAATTCGATTTGGAACCGTTTCAAAGTCGTATTAAGTAGCCGCTAACGCGCAAAAGCACAAAACATATCGCTCGTTATTTATCCCAAATTGGTCTTTAAACTCCCATACTTGACCTATACTTAACAAAAAAATAATTTGAGCTCTGTCGTAACTCTTTTTAACTCTTTTTAACGACAAGAGTAATTTTTCTTCTTTTTTTAAAAGTCAGAACAATAACTAGTCCTTACAAGCTGAAGTAGGCCAATCACACAGAAAATCAGACATCATTTCATTCTTCTCGTTGCCTCAGAAAAAAATCTAATACAAATTTCTAGAAAACTAGAAAGTTCGTTTTTATCGCTGACGTTTTATAAAATTCCAGAACGTTTTATTATAAATTTCATGACTAATGAAAAACAAAATTGCTTGTATCAGGGCAAAAACTTGAAAGTCTCAGCTGCCATTTGAGGTCCATGGACCAGTAATAACATGAAAAAAATAAAAGGAATTTTTTTTTCTTGATTTGAGATTTTTTTGTGAAAATCATCCCCCACACACTATTTTAAATATAAAGTGATAGATTTTCCTCCTAGCAACACACCAATTATGACAGATAGGCTATTTTGAACCAATTTGGAATTCTTTCTAAGACAGAATAAAATTCCGCCGTGTTAAAAGCGCGAAGTATATCGCGCGTTAACTGTCTCAAATTGGCAAAAACGTCAATTCTTAAACTTCTATAATTTTATGAAAAAAGAGCACAAGTGAAATCTTTTTTCAAGTTTAAGCTCAAGTCATCAATACTTGCGGAATGATAAAAAAAAGAAAAATTGAAATTTTTATGAAGAAAAAAACCACCTCGAGCACAAATATTCCGTTATTTTCGTTGGGGACAGTAAAATTAGAAATCGAATAAGCCAATATATTGGGCGAGTTGTTTTGGTAATGGCAAAACAGAAAGCTACATTATTAACAAGACTGCTTGTATCAGAGCGAAGCCCTGCATATTTCGACTGCCTTTTAATTTTTTCTGAGCTAATTAATTGCGCGATAATTGTACGCGTTAATTATACTTAACGCGCTAACCTAAAAATGTTGGTTAACGCGCTTTTTGTGCGTTAATTGTACCTAATTGGCCAAAATGGCAATCTTTAAACCCACATGATTTTACGAAAAATGATTACAGGTGAAATATCTTTTCACGCTTAAGCTCAGGGGAACAATACTTATTGAATGATATAAAGAAAATTACCGTCAAAAATAGCTAGTTAAAAAGTTGACATTTGTCTGAAGAAGAAAAAAATTACCCCGAGCACAAATATTCCGTTACTTTTGTTACGAAAGTCGAAACAATAACATTGGGGAAACCAACATTTTAATATCTGTCTAAGCCAAATTGGAATGAGTTATTGAAAATAATACATATCCCTGAGAAACGGAAATCATCAGTTCAATCTTTCTCGGCAATTTCTCATATTTTTGATTTTTTTTTGTTCAATCCAACTTTTAGTGGTTTCCTAAAATTTCCTTTTTTCTCTGAAACTAGAATAACTTACTTCGAATCTAGAAGTGTTTGAAATTTTATCAGAAGATAGTTGAGCATCTGGCTTCAGATTGATGTTGAATGTTTTTTCTTGGATATTTATTTTCCGCTGCGTTCACAGCAGCGTCATAACCCACAATGTGTTCACTCAACTAAATTGACCCCTATTTTAAGATTGAAGTTTTTTTTGTTTGTTATTCCCATATAAACTGGTGCATCCTAGGTTTTTCTGACATCGATTTTGAGATGACTAACTTATCCAATCAAAAATAGTTCAGATGCTCAAACCATTTTCTATAAAAATTTGAATGTTCTAGTTGTAGTTTTAAAGTTTTTTGCACAATCAGTTTGTTTGGAATCCACTATAACACTCAAAGGACTGAAATATGATGAAACAATTACTGGTATATGAGTTTTTGTTCCCATAACATAACTCTTAGACAGTTGTTTCTTTCACTCTTTTAGAAGGGCCGGAGCAATCAGAACACTAACTAAGTTATTCAAAAACAAACAACAACAAGACTGCTTGTATCAGGGCAACATCCTGAGTATTCCGACTATCTTCAGGTCTATGAAGCAGTGTACACTTTAAATAAATGATGAATTTTTTGAAAAAAAAAAGAAAAAAGTAAAAAAATTCTGAGTTTTGAATAAACCATCCCCGCACACGCCAAAGAAAGTACAGGGTGATAGATTTTGCTCCAAGTAACGTAGAAATTATGACGAATAACCTGTTTCAACCAATTTGGAACGATTTCAATGAGGGTATAAATCTCCGCTTACGATTCAATAGCGCGCGTTGATTGTCCCAAATTGGCCATAATGGCAATCTTTAAACCCCCATAAATTTATGAAAAAAACTGGTAAAACATCTTTTCAAATTTGAGCTCAGGACAACAATATTTTTCGGCAGACATAAAAAAATTTTGTCAAAATTCTTAGTTAAAAAGTTGAGAAAAAAAACCCTCCCCGATCACAAATATTCCGTCAATTTCGTTATGAAAATCGGAGCAAAAAAATAACATGTACCGCTATCGATATGTTGTATTAAGGGCAAAGTGACTTATTTTAGGGAACAAGCATAAACTCCAAAATAGATAACAAAAGTGCTCGTATCAGGGCGAGGCCTTGAATGTTCCAACTGCTTTTTGAAGTCTATGGAGCAGTAATAACATGAAAATTAAATTAAAAGAAATTCCCCCCTGCCACAAGCCATATTAAGTACAAAGTGATAAATTTTGCTCCTAGTAACAAATCAATTATGGCAAATAAGCTTCCTTCAACCAATTTAGAACAATTTCCAAGACGGATTCAATCTCAGTTTACCTGTTAATAGCGCAAAATATATCCCGTGTGAATTGTCCCAAATTGACCAAAAATGGCAATCTTTAAACCCACATAACTTTAAGATATAAAATGATCACGCGTTAAATATCTTTTCAAATTTAAGCACAGGACTACAATACCTTTTGAATGATATTTTAAAACTCCCGTGAAAAATGGCTAGTTAAAAAGTCGAATTTTGTCTTATTATTTTGAAAAATCACGGATTTTATGATTTTTTCTGAATCCAAATTACCGACGAGTGAACTGGAAAATTTTAGCAAAATCAAAACCGTATTTAACCATAAACTCCATTCCCTCCACTTTCCAGTGTTTTTGGAACTAGAAACACTTTCGGAAATATAAACAGAGTTTTCGGAAATATAAACTTATTTATTTGCACCGATCCCAATTTGTAGACCCAGTGGTTAACTTATAAGTCTTCTTGCTGAAATTAAGTTGACCTTGAGAATGAAGTAGTCGACGCCAATTCCGGCTATCAACTCCGCCCCCAGAAATATGGAGTATGAGTCGGAGGTGGGGGCATACTTGAACATCTGGAAGGCAGCTGTATAGCTGAGACTACCCATGATTCCAGAGAGCAGCCAGGCCTTCCAGTTGGTGAGTAGCTGAGGAATCTGGTCCAGTTTTGGGGATAGAAGCAGCCACATTTTTACATACATTAGTCCAAGTATGCACGTGTACAGATTAACCTAAAACAGAAAACTACTGTCGATTGATTTAAAATAAAAATGGATCTCTTTAACTGCCCCTTTTTTGCAATAAGGGGAGAGTTAATTCGCTACTATGTACAAATTTCACATAAGCTGAATCGTCGTAGAAGGAAAACTTTAGTAATTAACAAGCAAACTCCGGATTCGGATTGTCCATTGAAAAAGCGCAAAATTAGTCGAAACGTTTTTCAGTATTTTTTTATAGATGCCCAAAAAAGTATGACAAATTTCAGATCTAGGTCAACGTGTACATAGAGCTTCTTTGCTTCTTAAAGAATAATTGCTTCTTTACTTCCATCAAAAGAATTTTTCAACGGCAAAATTCTTACAAAAATAGCTTTTATTAGTGATACAATACTATAATTTGAATCTGACCTTGAACCCGTTTCCATCCCTCATGAAATGTGTGAGATAACAAATGGCTGCTCTGAAGCAGCCACTCGCAAACGCACAAAACAGACCGAAGAATCTGCTCTTTGCAAAACGCTGAATTGTCCCGAGCATTTCAAAATCAGAGCGGAAGAATAAAAGCTCCGCGGAAATGTAAAGAAAGTATACCAATATATAAAAATTAATTCAAACGAATTTGTTTGTCAGTAACTTCTAAAACTTTTTATTTTTCCTTTTAACACGATATGCCTGCAATTTGTAACTTCAATCAGAATAAAAAGCTAATGATAACAAACGACGAAAAAATTATTTAATCTAAAACTAGCAAGACTTTTATATGTTTTCAGAGCTCAAATGGTTTATTTTTGTAGTTTTAGCGGAAAATTTTCTCAAAACTACAAAAAGGAGGTACTGAACAACTAAGATATAAAAAACTAAAATCTATAAAACGAAGGATACACTGATGAAAAGGTAAACTTGATTTTAGCAACTCATTTAAAAATTCGAGAGGATCGATTTTTCATTTCAAATGTTTGTAGTAGTTTTTTGTTGTTTTTTTCTCCTCTTGTTGTGGTTGTTGTTTTTTTTGTGCTGCACTTTTGATTGTTGTTGAATTTTTAATGAATTAATAATTGCTGCTTGGGCGGATTGCACTGAGAGATCATTGGTGCGTTTTATTGGAACAGCTCAACTCCAGATTCCACCTTGGTTTATACATCCAGACAACCGTTGTTGTTCTTATAAAAACAAGGTTAACTATTTCCTTTATTGCATAAGGCGGGGTGGTGGTGAAGGTGTGTGAGGGGGGGGGGGTAGTTAACAAGACCCCAACTCAATACTGAATATGCGCTGATTTATTAGGAAAAAACATGATGAAGAGTTTTATCTGAGATATTTTTGAGATTTAAGAAAAATACCATTTGTGCATCTGGAAAAATGAAATTTTTCAGGGACAAACCCAGAAGAAGCTATGAAAAAAAACTCATTTTTAACATATTGTAGCCGAAAGCGCCATTATAAATTTTTTTTAAAGAGGACTCTACCTCTTTTTCAACCCCAGCTTATGTTCAAAAGATTTTTATACTAATTTGTAGTAATTATAAGTATGTAGCTCAAACAAGACTGCTCGTATATCAGGGCAAAACCCTGAATGTTCCGACTGTCCTTTAATTCATATCGAATAGTTTTTGGCAAAAGAAAATAATGAAACATATAAACTGGACAATATCAAAGTGTAAAGTTTTGAGTCGTACGAAATTAATACGACCAATTAGTTAGCCTCAAGTCAATTTGGAACAATTTTGATGTGCCGGATGATTCGCCACGCATGAATAATTCGCATTACGCTCTCAGCATCATGAATAACTCTTCAAAGCGCGCATAACTTAGTCCTGAACATGGAAAATTTGGCAATTTTCAAACCCCCAGAACTTTTCACAAAATTGGAGGTCAAGTAATTTTTTACATCTGAACTCAGAAAGTCGATATCTTCAATGGGGCATAAGATTTGTTGCAAATTATTATTTCGATCGGTCAAAATTGACTGAATAAAAGAACCACACCGAGCATAAATATTTCATTTTCTTCGAAAGTCGGAACAATAAGTTTTGGAAGACGCAACTGAACACCGCAGAGTTCTATTTAGAAATCTATTAACTGTTATGTTGTTATCCAATTAAAATTGAGTTGAAATCTGAAATTCCAAAAAAATGAACTAAAATTTAAACAAAAAATACAAAATACAACAGAAAGATAAAATTTGATCGCATTGTTTGCTTAATATTAGTGTTAATGACCGTCTTTTTGGATCGACAAACGACGCCAAAAGGCTACAACGTTTCCGAGGTTTCGAAATCGAATTTTTAGTTTATTTTGTCTTTAATCGAACTTTTTTAAACTTCAACTGCAATTAAAACTCATTACGGGGCCAAACTGTGCTTTTTGTGAATTGTAAGAGGATTCCGCAACAGGCAAAAATCGGATTTGTTGGGGAATCCGCAACATTGGTATTTTTCTTTGATCTTCTCTGCTGTTTTGGATTCAACGGACAAAAAGCTAAAACACTGTGTTGCTGAAAATTGCTCCAAAAACAGGCAACTTTGCGGAATCCGCAACAGAATGTGTGCAATCCGGAACCAGTTTGTTGAATCTATGAACAAATAAAAATATATGTGCTTAGTAAACTTAAGCTGTCGCGGAAGCCGAAACAGTAAAAAGAATCCGCAAACTGTCAGCGGAATCCGCAAAGTGTAAGCGGATTCCGCAAATTGAGAGCAGAATCCGCAAACTGTGGGCAGAACCCGCATAAAGTTGCGGGATCCACTTATATTTGCGGAATCCGCTTACAAGTGCGGAATCAGGAGCAATTACATATATTCACTCGTTGCGGAATCCGCAACAAAATCAAGGTGCCGACAAAATTTAAGTTACAGCTATTTGTACGCGGAATCCACTTACATTTTGGAACATGTTTTGTCTCTGGAATCCAGGAACATACAGACACGTGCGGCTGCGGTTCAATATTGCTGCAACTTAACTGTCGTCTACCCATAACTTTTATAAAAAAAGTTTTCTGGTGCTAACAGTGTGTGTAATTTTATTGCTTTTTAAAGTTTTCTTTTGTTCTTCCGATATGTGCTGATGATGAGTTTTGTTACTCGAAAAGCATTGACTATTTACTTTTTTCGTTTTTTATGATTATGGTATAGAGGGTCTGATGTATCGTGCCACTACCTGTCATATCTCAAAACTTTGGCTCACTGTGTTCATTTAGGGCCAAAAACCGACATCTTGAAGCTTGAGTGTGGACTCTCTGATTTCGGCATAATACCGAACATAAACGATCAGATTTCCCCATTACCAATTATAGGTTTTTTTAAATCTAGGTCTTCAATGTGCCATGTCTTAGTCCATATCCCGCAGCTAGATAATGAGTTTTAGTAGGGCGGTTTACTTTTGCGGTAACCGATATCACTTAAGTCGAGATGGGTTTGAGTGGTCTGGTTTTTTCCAGGCCCTGGTCTAATCAGTTTTATGAAGGGTTCTATGATATTCGAGGAATTAGCATTTTTAAATCCTTTTCGGGGAGTTATCTGACTTTAGCACGGTGTGACAATTTTAGCTATCAGGGGAAAATATCTTCTCACAGTGCAATTGCTCCAGTAAACCATCTCCGAGGAGCTGGTTGAAAATCCTGTCCAATTTTGGTGCTCATGAAACTTCACTGCTCTGTCAAAGTTCTTTAATCTCAAAATCCCTAGGAACAGTTTTTTTTGGTCTAGTTATATTCCAAAGTTTAGTCCAACTGGCCCAACTTTCATTCACCTCTGCACTTAATAAGTTCTAATTTAATGCAAAAAAAATAAATACCAAGTACTCTTTAAAATTTAAGTCCCTCTCCTATGGGTAGACTCACCTCAATTACCAGATGGGCCTTCATTCCAAACCCTAGCTTTTTATGCAATTTAAGACTTTAACTTTTAAAATTAAATAAAAAGTCACTACTAAGTCCCCCCCCCCCCAGGTGTTCATTTTCTTAGAGCTGAGATGGTTTCTCTGGGGGTTCCTACCGATCAAATTTATGCACATCCTTTCAATAGTTCTCGGCTCATTTTTAATGTCCCTCATCACTGTTTTCATGAATGGGCTATTAACACCTGACGGAGCTGCCGGAAATATTTGGCCACAAGGAGTTTTTTTTGGGTGACAATTGATGTTTGTATCAGCCATTAAAATCGAATTTTTTTGGCCTGTTTTTTGCCCGAAATACCTGATAACGTTTTAGAAGGTGGGTTTTCTAAAAATTTTTTGATCGATTTGCCTGATTTAATTATACTATATTCTCAGATGTATCTTGCAACTACCTGTCATGTCTCAAAGTTTTGTCTCACTACGTTCGTTGGGCCCAAAAAGCAAAAAAGGGCCTCCTGGAGCCGGATAGTGGACTGTTTATTTTAGGAAACATACCGGAAGTAGAAGTACAGAGGGTCCTCCTGTCCAAACTTAATTTTCCTTCATCTAGGTCTTCAACATACCAAGTTAGGTTACTTCCCGCTAGGTTCTAATAGGGCGATTTACCCTTCCGGAAACCAAAATCAGTTGGGCCGGGGGGCCAAGGGATCTGGATTGTTTTATGCGCAGGTCTAATCATCTCTGCTTATGGTCTTATGAGTTTCATGTCGTTAGTATTATAATTATTTTTTTGGGGGGGTGTTTTGACTTTACTATGGGGGAGGAGGAGTTTTTCATAAATGATCTGTTATATATTTTGAGCATGTCGTTTAGTGTGTTTTTCACTACCCGGAACGTGCTTCTGGTTTGATCTGAACGTCTTCACCAAAAAATGGTATGTTTCGACCATTTCGACCAAAATTTCGTATGTTTCGACCGTGCTCGACCAAAACTCTTTATCTTTATCCTCGACCCCCCTTGACCAAAAAAATATGGTCGAACGTGCTTGGCTCAAGCAAGTTACGTTTAGACCGTGCTCGACCCAAGCAAGATATTTTTTGACCGTGCTCGACCAAATTCGGGTATGCTTCGACTTTGAAACAACACGACTTATCCAAGTTTAAAAGTTATTGATTAGAAATAATTAGAACTACAATTTTATTCTTTTTTTTTAGAAAAGAACTACTTTAAACTAATTTTCCATTTTTTGAAATACTAGTTTGCTATTCCACAAATGTTTAAAAAATGTGAAGATTCGAATGGAGTTTTTCTACTTTTTCGCGCGAATTACCGCGGGACAATGTACTCGAGCTATGTTTCGACCGTGCTCGAGGTTTGTTTCGACCGTACTCGTGGTATGATTCGAATTTGCGCTTGACTCAAACCACTGTCTCGACTTTTTTTGGGTCCAGGACTGACATGTGTTCGACTTTGACAGTCGAAACGTAAAATGAGCACCTCGAGTGGGTAAGCTTGTTGCTTAACCGTTAAGTCTAACTTTGGCTATAAACAAAAGAATCACTATGTCCACAGTTATCGTAACTGCTTTATGCTTCATTTCGTCTAATAATTTTGAAAATTGTAAATCCTCTTAGCTTTTTCCCCATGAAAAAACCCGTATTAAGCCGACAGGTGCTGTTTAATGTCATCAAATTAGTTATATGTGAGGTAATGTTTCCTTTTTTGGAGGTTTTTCTCAGAATTATAGAAAAATCAATTCATTTTGTGGGATTGGCGTCGCTTTACAAAATATTTTTGTACCACTTAGCTCAATGATTACTAACGTGTTAAAAAAAAGGTAGAAACTGCTGTATAATAGTTATTTTTTTCTTTGAAAGCACACATTTAAGAACATTGAATTTTGATTCATAACTCTAAGTTCAGCAAATTAATAAAGCGATTATATTTTAAACATCAGCCCATTTTTATTTTTTCATCAAATCACCTGAAACTCAGCTTGATATAAGACTGTTTGTTGAGTTTTGTTGTAGAAAACATTGAGATTTGATTCATAAATCTAAGTTCGGCAAACAGCTGAAGTGATTATATTTTATACTTCAGTTCATTTTCATTTTTAACAGCTAAATAATATATATAAATATACAACAATATATTATAAACATATGTCAATTGATCAAAAAAATTGTGTTCTTAACAATAGATCCACGCATTCATAGACAGATTAATTCAGATTAATTCAGAGCACCAAGCAGACAGGTCAGTTTGCAGACAAAATATTCACTTTCTGCATCTATAAGGCGGTTTTCGCAAATATATATTTTCAATATAATAATACACGAACAAATCTGAACAACTTTGTGTCTCGTAACGTTATTTCAAATATCAACTGAATTTGAACAATTTCGGTTTAAAAAAGTTATTTTCTGACCAGTTTTGAATAATTATATCAAAATTACTTAATATCCTTTCCAACTGATCAATCTTGAGTATTGTCAAATTGTTCTGCTTACTGACAGGTCTGCTTACGCAGTTGTCTACTTAGTGTAGACCATTGATCAGCTTTTCAAATCTGGTATTTGTTATGTTGAGAAAAGCTCGGTTATTTTTTGCACCATTTTTTATTCAATGGCTAATAATTGGGATTATTTACTTGAATTTCCAGCCTGAAAAGCTGGAAGACGCAAATAGCAAAAAGTACCCCATGACAGTAACCCCCTCTCGCCGAAACTTATTTTTTCAACAGCCTCAAAAATCGTTCCGTTATCTCATTGTACGATATCTGAGTAATGACCTGCCACCTTTGCACTCAGAAAATCAAACTTTTCTAAGCACCAAATTTATTGTTGAAAACGAAAAACTACCCAAAAACTTTTACCGGCTCTGGATTCTGCATTCGATTATTGATGGAGAAAAACTGCGAAAGTTAATCAAGCTACTTAAGGAGCACAGCGAATGGTTTTTTATCAATCAAATTGATCGCAGTCTGAGTTTGAGAGGACTTTACAGGGGATGTTCAACGACTAATTAGATCAAAATAACATCCTCAGCGAAATATCGTACGGAAAAACAGCCACAAAAATTATGCTTTTCAAACTTTTCTGTAAAATGGTGAAGGGTTTTAGTTATGCGGCTGAAAAAACATGGCGATTGTCTTTAGAATAAAATCTAAATTATAAAACAATACTTACACTATCAAAACAGTTTTCCAAAAATATAATTTCAACAACAATTTTGTTGTAACAACAATCTTCGTTGTAATCGGATCGTTGTCGATATATCTGCACTTGCGTTTTCAAAAGATTGTTTTTTGTTTTTGGTTTTTGCAAAAAAATTGGTCAGCTGTTTGAGTTATTCAAATTATTTGTGAAATATAATTTTTAGTGTTGCAGGAAAAAAAATCAGACCTTTTAAAATCTTCGTCAATGTCTTGAAAATTGGTAATCACCGCACGAAAAAGGTTTTAAGTTCGGCTTAACTCTTAGACAATTTGATTGCATACTTTTTAAATCACAGTCATTATAGTTGTACATCTCTGTAATTTCAAGGAAGCGTTTAATGTCAATAGAGCCCGAAATCTGGGTCTCGAGATTGGGTTCGAACATGGAGCGGATTGGGTTTTCCTTCTAGACGGCTGCACGTTTGTTACCAATGACTCTTTAAACTTGCTAAGCTCATTTGTTCAAAAGGAAAAATCACATGTTATTCATTTTACACCAACAGTAAGATTAGAACAGTTGGTTACACTCAATTCCAACTTAAGTTATGACCACTTATTTCCGTTTTTTACTGGTCTACAAGAAGCCCATATTGGAATCAAACGTGAATTCTATGTCCAGCAAAGTAGGATCGAATCTCGCTCGGGACTCAAATTTTTCCCAGAAGGGAAGTTATACGGAAACAGAGATAAATTACAGCTATTAGGAAGATTATTTAGTGAGTTAGGCGAAGATCAGATTCATTGCAGATCCGTTTTTATTGGATATCACAGAACAAAGTCCAAATCACCGACTGACGACTACGACATCATCAGAGAATGTGGATTTGCTATCCGACTGCCATACTATCTGGATGACTCGGCTCCTATCGACCAGCACATACCTCAAAAATGGCGCCAAAGAAGAAGAAATCTCTCGATAAAAAATTTCGTGAAAAAGCTGGAAAAGATTGAAGATAATTTTATCTGGGACAAAGTTTTCGGTCCCAAAATTCAATGAAAAAAAAGCTAAATTATTGGTGATTTCTGTGTTTTCCGATCAATTTTAACCATATCAACAAACTTATTGAAATCACTTAAAAATAAGGCACTAACATTAAGGACCATGACTTACCACAATTTATCCTCAGATGTATTGACTCATTTGTATCATTACTGATTGAAGAATTTAATGTGACAACCTATGGAAGCTTTCATGGATAAACTTGTAATTATTTGAAATTTTCTATCGAACTCCATAGTGATAATTTTTTGTTAATATTAATGACGCCTTTGTAAATATGTAAATTGTAAATGTGAAATTGACATCCACTTATCCCGTTGAGTTTTTTTTTTCAAAACTGCAAAAAGTGTTCATTTTTTAAAAAATTTAATTGGGAGCTCACAAATAAGAAGAAACACAGTACAAATAAAACAGACAGTTTTAAAAGAGATCGAAGCAAAAGCTGAACGAAGCTTAGAGATCAAAGAGTTTTACAAATCTACACAAACGAGATTGAAAGTGTCTTTGAAACTAGAGTCTTCAAAGTTCAAGGAAAAGTTCTACCAGCTAAGGGTTTTTTCTGAAGACAAACTTTGCTGATCAAAAAAAATACCTGTGAAACTTTTGTCCACATAAAAAAATCAAAAATTTACCCAATCTATTTAGCAGCAATCAATTCTTTTTAAATTTTTGGCGATTCGAAACGCAAAGCGCGGTTTGTTTTGTCCCACCGTTTTTTTATGTTTTAATACTTTGGATTGTTTATTCAAACTAAAGACGAGCTTATTCCAGCTAAGAAAGCACTCAAAACTAAAAAAAAAACTGCGCATAACATGGCGAAATCTTCAATAGCTCGACTGCCCTCTAAAATCTATGACAATATTTTTAAAAAGTTTTGAGAAAAAGTAACAATTGATGAAATTGAACAATTGGAAAAATTTAAGTTACAATCATTCTTTTATTAGCTTGGGGGGACTTTCAAAATAAGTTTGACAAAAAAATAGTGATGTGTTGAGCGTCTAACAACGTAATTATAAGATCCTAGAGCTGTCCTTGTGCCCATTTGAACAGTTTCTGAGAGGGATTAAGCCGCCGCTTACGCGTTAGTAATTGAAATATATCGCTAGTTAGTTTCCCAAACTAGCTAAAACGTCAATTTTCAAAACCAGGGGACTGGTTTTTCAAATTTGAGACCAGGACACAACAACCACTCCAAAAAAACTAAACCGAGCACGTGGATATTATTTTTCTTTTAAAATCCGAAACAATGATGCTAACTAAGTGATCTAAAATAAGATTTTGTATCACTTAGGTGGTCGCTACGCGCATTCATACCTAAAGGAGCTCTAACTCTCCATCTATGTTTTTCAGTTTTTACCCTTAGATTTTCATCAACCTTGGTAACTACAACTAACTATGATATGACTCGAAAAAAGTTTCAGGCTAACAAAAATAATTTTCAAAAAACTCGAAGTTAAAACAAGCATGATCCAAGTTAGAAAATTGTCATCATATAAAAAAACTGCAAATTAGTTTCTTCTAAACTATATTTAAATTAAATTGAGACTGCTCGTATCAGGGCAACACCAAACGCAAAGCCCCGAATGTTCCGACTGCATTTTAAAGTCTATGGAGCAGTAATAACATGAAAAAATTAAATGTATCAAAATAAACTGAATTTTTTTTATTATAAACTTTGATATTTTTTGTAAAAATTAACCCCCACACGCCATTTAAAGTACAAAGTGATGAACCTTGCTCCTAGTGACATATCAATTATGGCCAATAAGCTTCCTTCAACTGATTTGGAACGATTTCTAAGACGGATTGAATCTCCGCTGACTCGTTATTAGCGCGAATTATATACATTTTGAATGAGGACAACAATACATTTTGAATGTTAATAAAATTTCCGCCAAAAATGGGTTGTTAAAAAGTCGAAATTTGTCTAAAGAAAAAATCACCTCGAGCACAAATATTTCGTTACTTTCATTACGAAAATCGAAAAGTGCTTTCTTAAGAGAATTAATCATTAGACGGCAATGTCACCAAGTTTGATTAGCCCAATTATTCATTAGTACTCTTCGTCAACAAAATTGAAGCAGAAAAATCAAAAGTGTTCGAGTTATTTCAATTGGTAACATCATGAAAGTTTTGGCGGAATTTAGGTACGTGAGCAATTAATTAAATTGGTAAAAAGGGCATGTCATTCTGGAATTTCAGGTATGCTGGAACTTAGGTATAGGTAATTGTAAGCAAGCATTATGGAATAAAGATATATTCAATTATCCTTTTTCCGAAATTTGTTACTCAAGAGGTACTAAGGTATTTTTGTGGAACAAAAATGTATATCTTATTTTACAAAATGCACCTTCTATGGGAAAATGGCAAAAGCGGATTTAGATGGGCGGGCGACCCACTACGGACCCGCTGCCGACCCAAAGGGTTCCCCCTTGTACTATTTTGAGATACCCAGTTTTGGCTGACGGACATTAAAATTTTTCTTCCAATAATTAATTAGTTTGAGGGGGAAGCGCGCGCCAAAAAAATGCAACTTTTTAGTCGAAAGTTTCCAAAAAGTGCCAGAAAACGTTTTTTTTGGCCTGTTTTTTCAAGTTTTTGCCTCATATTTTTGCGGCGCAGAAATTTTGTACAAAATAAGTTCTTTGTAATGATTTGTAAGAGCTCAGAAAGTCAATTTGATTGATCTAAAAAAAAGTTAGATAAGACTTCGAAAATGTTTTGAAACCCCCCTCGAAAAAAGTTTGATCTGCCGCTGGTTTCTACCAAAAAGTTTCTAAAAAAAATTAGGTAAGCCATGAAAATTAGAGTTTGTAACATTTTCCATGTTTTTGAAATGGTTCCTGTTTTACCCAAACTTCAATTTTCCGATTTGTTTCAAGGGCTAGACGTAGTTTTCAGTCAACGAAATTTTTGAAACGATAATGCTTCTTTAAATGCAAATAGTAGCAAATAATAAATGGTTGCCCTTATGTTTGACGAAGAAAATTACAGTCTGGCTATATAATTTACAATCGGGCCGCAAAAACTATGAAATACGAAAATGCGAATTTGAGCTGTAACTTCAGCTTCAAGTTTTGCATGTGCCAAAATTGTTTCCCCACTCGTCAACAGCTAGAAGCAAACATCTGCTCGGATGCGCTTGCATTTGGTACGACTAATTTTGTGCGTTATAAGAAGTGTCTGTAGTTATTCTAAAAGATTTTTAAAAAGATTATTCCAATTTCCGGTGCAAGAATTGGAAAAAAATTGATCGATGTCTTCTTTCTCTAGACACAGCTTGGCTTTTTAATCAGCAATTTTTCGACAAAATTTTCGATTTCTTAAACACAAAATTGTTTATATGAGCTTAGGTTGACATCTAAACAATAAAAATGATGGTCATAAAATTTCATATGTTAAGTTTTTGGCCAAAACAGTGTCCTTTAAGGCTTATGTTTGACCAAAAAAATTACAGTCCGGCTATATAATTTACAATCGAGCCGCAAAAACTATCAAAAACGAAAATGTTCATTTTAGCTGTAACTTCAGCTTCAAGTTTTGCATGTGCCGAAATTGTTTCCCCACTCGTCAATAGTTAGAAGCAAACATCTGATCGGATGCGCTTGCATTTGGTACGACTAATTTTGTGCGTTCTAAGAAGTGTCTGTTGTTATTCTAAAAGATTTTTTAAATGGTTGTTCCAATTTCCGGTGCCAGAAATGGAAAAAATTGATCGATATCTTCTTTCTTTAGACACATCTTGGCTTTTTAATCAGCAGTTTTTCGACAAACTTTTCGATTTCCTAAAAATTGACATCTAAACAATAAAAATGCTGGTCATACAATTTCATATGTTAAGTTTTTGGCCAAAACAGTATCCTTTATTGTTTTGGGAGAGCTTTCAAAATCTTTTTGGTCACCTAAAAAAAGTCGAGAAAATACTAGATCTACCCCTGAAGAATGTTATATCAGTGCTTACAGAAAATTTATAAATATAATTATAAGACGACACTCTAATCAGCGACCTAATCACCTCTTGTGGTCTTTTCCGACCAGCTACGAACCCGTCATGGAGCCTTCTCAATTCTTTCTGTTCCCAGTTGGCCTTGACGACAAACAACCTCAAAAACAGCTTATCCAAGTGTAATACAATGAGTAATATTAGCCACTGTCAAGACATGCAATTCCTGAGGACTCCTTGGGTACGTCACGATAGATTTCGGCTTCAAATAAAAGATAGACTTCACTGCTCTGTACTCAATATCGGAGAAGGTTCTGTTCGACTCAGAGACAACCACGTGGATGCATTTGGAAAAGTCTCTCGGAACCGTATACGGTATACCCCTAGATATTATGTGAGATTAAAAAAGTCACAATCAGTCGTGGTAATTTTGTCACGGGTTTTTCAAGTCAACTTATGTACACAAGTTCTCATCCGATTTGGACCCAGATTTCTCAATTTTACTAAAATTCATAGTTTTATCTTTTTATCTTGTGCTTTTTTCATCGAACTCACAAGTGCTCTTGTAGTAAATGATCGAGACCTTCATATAGTAATGTATACACCAGTAGCGGATATAGGGCTCCCCCTCAGGGATTCGACCCCCTGCCGACCCAAAGGTTACAATCGGGCCGCAAAAACCATGAAAAACGAAAATGTACTATTTTGAGATATCCCTTTTTGGTGACGGACCCTAAAAATTTTCTAAAGGCGCCTTGGGCGCCAATATATACTAATTTTGAGGGGGAGCGCGCGCCAAAAAAAACGCGATTTTTTGGTCAAAATTTTCCAAAAAGTGCCTAAAAACGCCTTTTTGGCCTTTTTTCAAAATTTTACCTGGCGGCACAGGAAATAATGTGGTCAAATTAGGGTCTTTATAGGGACCAGGAAGACCTCAGAAAATCAATTTGGTCGACCTAAATAAAAAAAGGTCGACAAAACTTTCAAAAATTTTTTGAAAATCTGCCCCCCTCGAGAAATTCCAAAATCCGCGCCTGGTATACACCATAAAAATAGTAGCCCTACCAATGCTCAGATGAACATCGGGAATGTATCCCCCATTTCTTCAAGACTTGACGTGGTACCGCTTAATTTCCAACAGAGCCTAGGTTTTCCCTATTATTCTCGTTCAGCTTCTGTTGTCTCTGATCTTTTTGTTTTTTTTTCTTTCTTCACATTAAAATGAGTTGAGGTCTTTTTGACCTCATATATTGGATTTAAAAAGTTTAAGGAACGGATCTGTCTTCTGCAGCCAACATTAACAACGAGTGTTCAGCCAATAGTGACATACTGGGTGTTTTGTAGACCACAACTACCTGGCAG